ATGGATGGCTATATAAATGAATGAATAAATAAGTAGATAGATAGATAGATAGATAGATAGATAGATAGATAGATAGATAGATAGATAGATAGATAGAAGTAAGGGAGGGAAGAGGTACTTTCAGACTTGCAAGACTGAGGTCAGTCCTTCAAGGTAGTCCAGACAAGAAACCAAACCATGAGAACTAACACTACCTTTATTCTAAGGTTACAGTAACAGAATCTTGCAAGTAAGGGAGGGGAGAGGTACTTTGACTACCTCATCCATCCATTTCCCACCCTTTGCCTCCTTCCTCCTTCTAAATATGAGGATACAGTTGGTCAAGAATAGCAAAGGTGAAAGAGATCTTGTACACTCACTGCTTCCAGCCCCGCAGGATACCAGTATTTTTCTTCCTTTGCACCTAGCAAGAAGCATGCAAACCTTCATTTTAAAGCTCAGCAATTGCAGGTATAGAGGAAAGACAGGTGGAATTGCTGATGACTTAATGGACCTCACAGTGTAGTTTGCTGTCTTCTGGGATATTTTTCTTCCCAGTTTAGCCTACACAGGTAGCTGAGATTTCCTGGTGAACTCCCATCCTGCTTCATTTTCTCAAGATTAGCCAAGATTAGGGTTAGGGTTAGGGTTAGGGTTAGGGTAGGGTTAGGGTTAGGGTTAGGAGACCACAACTTAGAGTTAGGGGACCCTCATTTCTTTTTTAGGAGACCACAACTTCTTTATTAAGTAAATGGACCCTTCTTCAAAAAACCCAGACCTTCATTTGCCAATCAGAAAGCCAGGGCTAGGTTTAGGTTTAGGGTTAGGGTTAAGGTTAGGGTTTGCTATAGGGTTAGCTGGGATTTCTTTGTGAACTTCCACCCTTCTTCACTTTCTCAAGATTGGCCAAGGTTGTCTAGGAGCTGCTGTGAATTATACCAATTATACTCATTCTGCCAGTACTGGCATCTAAGACACAACATACAAGCTAAGACAGGGCAAACTATTTGACATTTGCGTAATGTTCACTTGTATCAGTGAAAAGGCAAGCAGTTTTTCAGAGAAGAGGGCTCTTCTGCACATTGGAAGAAAAGGTCATTTAACATTTACAAGCAATGATATATAACAATACAGTGGAAACCTTCGTATGAAGCATTAAGCTCAAGAGAGAAACCTTTTTTTATATTATAAAATAATTTAATATGTTTTGCAATTGTCTATGAATACCCCACTTAGCTTTCACTGTATAATCCAATAAGCAAATGTTATGTTTATTAACATTTTAGAAATTATCAGTATAAATTTTTCTCCCTATCGTTAAAGGTTTAAACCATCATAGTGTCAACCATTTCTATTTTATATTCCTTTTAGTACCACTGTACTCAATGAATATCTGCATTTCATAATGTATTGTTTGCATCTTATAATAAAACAATTATTGGTGGGGGGGAGGAAAGATAATTTGTTCAGCATATTTCTGTATTAACTTAATTATGTTTGCCAGGCACTTAGGCAGTTATGCTGAAGGACAGTCTGTCTAAGCAGAGGGAACACCTCTTGGTTGACCAGGAGTCTGATGCATTGAGAGAAAACCACAGTTTCTCCGTGTGTTATTATATAGATTGAAAAAGTTGGCAGACCCTAACATCAGGAATCTGGTAGCACATTTTCCAACTAACGCATTTTATTGAAAGGCATAACTTTTTGTGAGCTGCAGCTCACTGGCCATTCTAGACATCTGATGAAGGGAACTGCAGCTCATGAATGCTTCAGCTTTTTAATTTATTTATTTAAGGAACTTACTTGGCCGCCTATCTCACATATGATCCTAGACGGTTCACAACTACCAATGAAAACAACAAGATAGAAACAGAACCAACAAACTTCAGGCACCAGGCCACCCATATTATTGCCCCCCTGACTCAATCCCAACCTAGCCCAACGCTTAGGGCAACAGCCAGATCTTCATGGCCTTTTAGAAGACTAAAAGTTAGGGGACCCTCGAATCTCAGTTAGGAGACTATTCCAAAGGACAGGGCATTTACAGAGAAGGTGCATCTCCAAGGTCCCATCAGATGATAGCATTGAAGGGAAGGGATCTGGAGTGCACTCAGTAACGTTTGATTGTCAGAAAAGATGCTACCAGACTCCTCCTGATTATTGGCTACCATAGACTAACACAGCTCTTCTCCTACAATGTTGACAGACCTCAGTAGCTTTATGCTTGCCATGGTCCTGCAGTGGCATTCTAGTGTCATCTGATACTCAGGGAAAATCTCCTCACTGCTTATAACAGCCAGAATCTACTCTGCTGAGTTTTCTCTTTTGCTTCCATTTTTTCAGTCCTTCTCATTAACCCTATTCAAGAATTCTCTGCCGTTTGGCCAAAAGCGCTTGGGTGGTTCTGCCCAGCCGTCTCTACTCCCTCCAGAATCTTTTCTTGGTTTTTTGCAGTCAGAGCCCGCAGCCCGTTCATTTGCCTCCTCAGAAGTAGATGAACAAGAAGTTCCAGAAGAAAACTTTGAAGAAAGAAAGTACCCAGGGGAAATCACCTTAACCAACTTCAAGCTTAAGTTCCTTTCCAAGGAGATCAAGAAAGAGCTACTCACGTGAGTCTTCCCACTTGGACTAAACAGCCATGCCGTGAAGCACTTGAGAGGGAGCAGACATAGGCTAGACCACCACCTCTCTGGCTTGCTTTAATTTAGATTCCTGCACTTAGCGGGGGTTGGACTCGACCCAAGGGATCCTTCCAACCATAGGATTCTCTGATGCAATTCTGAGAAAGAAGAGATACGTTTATGGATGAATGTGGGAGGGAGTCTTTAAGAAATTAAAAATCCCACCCAAGATTCATTGATATTTCGTACTGCAGGGATCTTATTTAATCCAAACAGTTCAAAAGCTGTTCCTGATTGTTGAGATGAAGAGCCATTCCATATGGTCTTCTGAAGCTTTACCACGATTTAAGAATGGGGGGAGAACAGTTGAGTAAAACACCACAATCTTAGGACTCATTGAAGTGATGATAAATGCACACTTTTCCCCTTTTCATTTACTTTCCTGCTGGAGCCTTGGTAATGCGGCGGTGGCAGAAAACAACTTTTGCTAAACATATTGCTTTGCTTCCTTGTTTACACACTGTCATAACATTTCCTGAAAGCTACATTTCCAAAATGTCCCACACTCTTGGCTACATCCTTTGTGAGCTGCATTGCTCTTGCCCTCCCATTGTAGAAGGTTGAGGGGGTGGATAAATGTGAGACAGAAGGGTTTTTTTTTACAAGCATCTGTGACTGTGAGATTCCCAAGTGTTGTTCAGACTTTGAAATTCAGATTTTGAGGTGTGACTTTTCCAAATGGAAAAGGGAAAACGTGGGCAACAGATGTAATGCGCATATTGGAATATCCAGCAAATTACAAGGTAAAAATCATGGGCAGTTCTCTTTGTTTTAGCTTCTGGGAATGTTAAAAGAAAAAAAGGGTAAGAATTCATATTTACATAAACTCCTTCATTTGCAATATTTAATCCCCGTGCTTGTAGATTCTCTTAAAAACTAAATCTGTCTCTGTAATCTATTCCTCAACCGATTTGGCCTCTCCACTTTTAATATTCTAGGTAACTGAGATACATTTCCCTCTTGGGTTAATCATTAGCGGATTTAGGTGCTTACCCACAATATTGAGCACCGTTAAACGGGTTTGGATTCTCACCTTTCAAATTAAAAAGTTGATGGGCCTGATAGAACCCATAGTACAAGGCCCAAGATGGTCAAATCCTTTCTGAACATTTATTTGGTATAAAGGAGCTTTTCAGTTGCTTAACCAGTGACCTCACAGCCAAGTCTGACAAGATGTGAGCAGTTCATGGAAGAGATAATGACAGCAGGTTAACAAAATCCAATGGTTGTGTTCATATACCATTGTATATGACAATATGACAAATAGATAAACCATATGATGGCTTAATGTGAAGGCATGGTTCACACAACATGCTAAAACATGTTGGGTTTCCCACAGCATGCTCAACCAGAAACTACCAGATCCTATTTTAGTCTAGCCTAGAGTGTTGTGTGAACACAGCCAAGGAGTACCATGAAAGAGAGAAGGGACCCCACAGACTATTTGCCATAGTCATCTCCATCTTGGTAACCACCAGATATGATCATCTCCACCTCTCATAATGCTCAGCCGTTAATCAAGACTGAAAAAGAATGAGAGCTGAAGTCCAACATAGAGTTGGAAAATGTTCTCTTGTCCTGGTGATGCTAGAAAGATGTGGGCATCAATAGCAGGTAGCTAGGAGCCTTCTAAAAGTTCTCAGGCTTCTTAAATGAAGAGCATGAACATGGTAATTATTAGACATTAAGTGACATGTGCACTAACGGAGAATAAAGCGCACCTATTTACAAGCAGATGACATTCTTCACTCTTTTTTTTCCTTTGTCATAGTAGGCAAAGGAATAGTCTCTTATTAAGAAATATTTTGAAGGTGATGTGTAAATTAAAAGCAAACAGTTCCAATACTCATCAGCAAAAATATACTGGTGCTTCAGCATTGATCATTGTGTTCTGAAACACAAAGTGGTATTTCTTCTCATCTTATTTTCATAGCTGTGGGGGCAAAACCAGAACTAAGATTGCATTTATAAGTGTATCAATCCCACCTCTTATATTGTGAATTATTGCTATCTGAGGGTCTCATTGTAGCCTCCATGTTTGAGATCCTAGAGTTGAATTAGCATGGGTCAACAGAATCTAACCTTATTCCAAGAATTATAAAGATGGAAGAATATAGTATCTCCAGAACCTTTACCAGAAGACATCACTTTGCTAATCCTAATTCTAATCCTTGTGAATGGTTGCTCTACTGGATCCCTATGAGGCTACTTCATCATTTAACTTCATACAGCATACTTAACCTAGTACTGAACTGATCTATTTCTCGATTTACACAAGACAGTGCATCACAAACAAACCAGATTGGCTGTGTTTGCACACCAGGTTAAGCCAAAGCTAAAACTCTGCTCAAGGATGACACTATCCCATTTTAGCATGTTGTCTGAGTGCAGCTGCTTCATCTTTCACTGATCTGGTTAAGTGTGATGTTGCATTAACATAAGGAAGCCTGAATAATGCCATTTCAGGGGTTATGGAATGAATTTCCCCAATCCATTCACATAAAAAGATAATGATCATCTGACATTTGAAACCAATTACAGTGCATAAATACACCAATTATTTCTGCTTCCAAAGAAATAGTGGTTTATTCCCCCAGTTCATGCACTTTGCCCCCAAAGTTCTTCCTCCCCAACCATCTTCCATATGACCTTCTCACTCCAGAGGTCTCACCTGATTATTATTTCTAGTGGAGGAATGATATGTGATCTATCCAGGGCCAGCCACTACATTTCTCCAGGCTCCAGGAGAGAAAAAAAATGCCAAGTTCAAATATGAGAGAAGGAATAGCATGATTTTCCCCACTCCACCATGCCTATTTCTCAGGTATGAGACTAGCTGATACCAGCTGTAAATCTGAAAGTCCAAAAGCCTTGATAATATCTCACTATGTTCTAGAACAGTGTTTCTCAATCTCAGTGACTTTAAGATGTGTGGACTTCAACTCCCAGAATTCCCCAGCTGGCTGGGGAATTCTGGGAG